TTAATCTTAAAACTGGTCATTGGGATTTTCTTACATAAGATAAAATAAATCGTTTTGATTAACAGTTCAACAATAAAAATTTTCAGTTATTTATTGGTGGGTTGTTTCCCCCACCCTGGTTTATCCAATCGAGGTAACCCGCAGTTCCTTGCCTCTTAAGTAACACTATCAATAAAAAGATTCGCACAAAAGTTAACCTTTTGGTCGGAGATTAATGCGTTTAGCAGCAGGTTCTGTGGTCGACATGGTTTACACAGAGAGCAATCACTTACCGCCTACGGGCAACGGATATACGAGAATTTCATCTGACGCCGAAGCGGAAATGATATAGCAGAAAAGACGCTGTCCAACGTCACACGCAGTTGGCCTTGCGGCTGGATGCTCAGACACAACTTCCGTTTGGTCAGATTATCTCCTGTGGTCTTCATAGTTTACTATTCGCACATCTTCAATTTACCTTCATTTAAATCATACTGAAAAAGTTTCAGGACTTCTTAGTAAAAGTTAAGAAATTTTATTTTATCTCTTCTTTTTTTTTCTTTTTTTTTTGTAAGAAAAGGTGTATTTTTACATAATTTTTATTTCTTTTAATACGCATGTGATGTAATTGACGCTGAACAAATACTTTAGACTAGAATCTAAACAATGTAAAACTGATCCGTTATTTAACAGATGTACCACCCTGATGTTTCAAATCAACAATAATTTGTTTCACTGAGAGGAAAGTTTGTTTCTTGCAGTAATTCAAATAGGTATATAATTCATACTGCTCACAAGAGATAAAACAAGATTATGAAGTAGCAGCAGTAAATAAACAGGGATAATAAAATTAAAAACTCATAGTCTTTGAATTTGTCTGAATTTCTTAGATGAAGCAATTCCATTATTATTATATTAGACGGAGGTTTATCTTTCATCTTATTTTTATTGCATCTGTTGTTCAGGCCGTTTTATATTCTACGACTGGATTTGAAATAAAGAATAAACTTCGAGCGAGATTTTGAACTTGCATCCCGTATATTTCGCAGCGCATCTGGTATGAAGGATACCTTACTGAACTTGTTACAGAAACGAAACTTCTTTTTTTATATCCAATTTTCTCCACGGTATATTGTTTTACTTACAAGCTTGATCACATCATTGTTACTTATTACTGTAGCCTTTTATATTTTACGGCTGTTAAGCAGCATGACAAATAAAAAAAAAACTATCCGGCAACGTTTAACAATCGTGCTTACAAAAAGGACGGTTATTCCCTTGACAGTTACACCACTATTGCTAGATATACAGTAGCGGCCATAATATAAGGAACGGAAACAACAAAGACATAAATATGTGTATTACTTAAAAAGTAATGCATGATTAGCAATGACATTTTTACCGAATAAAGATTAAGGTGTAATGCATAAATATTATACAAAGTTACAAAAATTTACATAATAGTCTTTTTTTTAAATAAAGATTAAATGGAACAAAGGAAATAAGCTACTGGATAAAAGTTAAGGAACGGTGTTAATAATTTGCATAAACTTTTAATTTACATTGTTAAAAAACTCGATGGAGCTTTACAACAATAAGTAAAAGTTCATTTATCATTAGGACTTTTTTTTAAGCAATATGGTAAATTCTACACGCAAAACGCTCTCTTTTGAAGAAAAAAAAAACTCATTATCGCTAACTATCAAGAAAAAAAGTCAATTTCAGAAGTTTCTGATATTGTTCATAGGTCTAAAAGTGTCATTCATCGTGTAATTAGCAGGTATAAAATCGATAAAACGTTAGATGCAAAAGCAAAAACCAACAGACCTCCAAAAACATCGCAAAGACAAGATCGAAGAATTGTTAGAATATCTACAAAAAAACCGTTTTGAAACTGCTACATCAATTGCCAGTAAATTTAATGAAGAGACAGATAAGATCTCAAGGAAAACGGTTGCTTGCAGGTTAAAAAATGCAGGATTGCATGCCCGTACTCCAGCTTCGAAGCCTCTCATTTCAAAGCGAAATCAAAGGGCACGCCTGGAGTATGCGAGAGAACATATTGTTTGGACTGACGCACAATGGGATACAGTTCATTTCAGTGACGAGTCCAAGTTTACTATATTTGGTTCTGAGGACAAAACTTACGTACGCCGTAGAACAGGTGAAAGAATGTCTTCTCAATGTGTCAAGAAAACCGTCAAGTTTGGTGGCGGCAGTGTGATGGTGTGGGGAATGATTTCATCTGCAGGAGTTGGCCCTATCATCTGCGTACATGGCAATATCAATGCTGAGATTTACAAAAGGCTTCTTCAGCAGCATGCGGTACCAAGATTACACCATAATCTTTATGAATCTCTTATTTTCATGCAGGACAATGCACCTTGCCACAAGGCTCAGAAGGTTATGGCTTTATTTGAAGAAGAAGGAATCACCCTAATGAAGTGGCCAGCCCAGAGTCCCGACCTGAATCCAATAGAAAATGTTTGGAAGATAATTGGAGAAAGGGCTCAGAAAAGAAACCCGAAAAACTAGGATCCCCTATGCGAGTTATTGAAAGACGAATGGGAGGGAAATAATGCTGATTTTTGCAAGAAATTAATTAGATCATGTGATCGACGATACAGAGAAGTCATTGAAAATAAGGGGATGTTTATCAAATATTAAATTTTGTTGATATTTTGTTCACAATCAAGTATTAACAAGATCGTTCCTTAACTTTTGTCCAGTAGCTTATTTCCTTTGTTCCATTTAATCTTTATTTTAAAAAAAAACTATTAAGTAAATTTTTGTAACTTTGTATAATATTTATGCATTACACTGTGGACTCGCCCAATATCCTTACCTTTCCAACCCTAACAAAAGCACAGTCCACATCGTACGCCTACGTACCTAAAAAACTTCAACCAATAAAAACGGCAAGAAACAAAGCAAACAACCCCATTGGTCAATCACTTGAAGTTCACGTGCAAAACAGAAATTGCGCCAAAATCAAGTGAGCCACTTTTGGAAATTCAAACGATATAAAAATAAACGTAGACAGCCCCAGACAGTCAGTCTCACGAATTAGCAGAGTACTTTCCAATATACTCCACGCCACTACGAACCACAATTTTGCCGCGCACGAAGATACATCGCTGACTCATATTCGATCATTCATTAATCAACTCTGTGAACACTTTTCTCAACTTTTCTTATGTACAGTGAATTAAATTCACTACTTTAAAATAAGTAAACATCAACGAACATACAACATTACGAAAACATCAACTACGTTTAAGGGTAGATCACTCTAAAAAAAACTCTTTTCAAAGGACACTTATGATTCACAATTACAATTATTAACACAAACAAAAAGACAGCGAATCAACGAACAATTTCAACAAAGAGACATTCACAAATCTAACAATTACACACACATTTTGTCCACACGACACACACTGATTATCCAATCTGTATATTGTTAAATTGTATATAAATGTTGCATTGATTTCTAAATTGCATATGTCTCGTTTTCAATTACATTTTGAATTTCATTTATTTATTTGTTTGGGATGCAGCAAGACACGCAACCAACTCAAAATTCCTTCTGATTCTTTCTTAAATAACTCTGCACGTCCCCAACAACACCCTAATCTTTATTCGGTAAAAATTTCATTGCTAATCATGCATTACTTTTTAAGTAATACACATATTTATGTCTTTGTTGTTTCCATTCCTTATATTATGGCTGCTACTGTATATACCTTTGACTCCATCGGCACTGTTTATTTACAAGATTATAAAAATGTGAACCAAATACAAGGCGATATTTTCTATATACTTTTCATAAAGATTTATTATTTACTAATTTATAAAGAAATAAATTTGAAAATAAATCTTATTCAAAAAATTTATTTAAAAGATTCCAAACTTATCAAAATATGTAAGAGATACTCTCAATCTATTTTAGGAAATTTGTGCGACGAGAGCAAATGAAAGAATTACTCGAAAAAAATGCATTTTTTCAAAATTTATATTGACAGTTACTCGTCGTTATATGTTTATTTAAATCTTGTTCAAAGACATTTTCAAAAATTTATGAATAAAAAACTCTTTTCATAGTTATTTCTTTATAAAATGGTAAATAATAAATATTTCATTATAGTAGGTTCCCATATTTTTATATTCTTATAAATATAAAATTATTCTTGCAAATAAGCAATCTAATAAACAAATAGTGTTTAATATCTTTGTTGTCAATTCTCGACTATAAAGAAAATGTATAAATCTACTTTCATGTGTTTGGGTTTTATTAAAATTCTAATCAACACCTTTTAAAACAATCATTGCTGCGGAAATCAAAAGTAATAGAGGTGTTAAGATAATAACAGTCATTTTTAGACACCGTTTTTTGTTTGTTTATTTTTTGTTTGTTTATTTTTTTTGTTTGTTTATTTTTTGTTTGTTTATTTTTTTGTTTGTTTATTTTTTTGTTTGTTTATTTTTTTGTTTGTTTATTTTTTTTTTTGTTTTTTGTATATATATATATATATATATATATATATATATATATATATATATATGTATTGTATATATATATATATATATTTTTTGGAGGGGTCTGGTATGAAGTTTAAACATTGGCAACTAACTTTTACGTATATGTTTGGCTCTCCGATCTTGTTTCTGGTGTCAAATCTATCAGGTTCTGGCCATATAAGACAGCCTGCCAAAAATATTCTCAGCAGTTACGTTATTTCCTACTCATGTTACTTACTTAACGGTCGTAGAGTATAAAACAAGAATATTCTAATAAAAATAATACTAATAACGATAAACTAGTCAAAAATTGATAGTGAAAATGCTTAATCTAAAACAAGATTATTACGTATACTACCAGTAGTTGGAGTCTAAAATTAATAGAATTAAGTCTTGTTTATAGATTGACTATCACGTGAGGTGTTTTATCAATGTCAGTTTTTATGGGTTTTTTTATTGACCAAAACCTTTTTGAGATATTTTTCAAAATTATATTTCCAATGTGCGCCTTAAAAATTTCCTTTTTCTTCCTTCTACTCCCTATGTTTTTCTTGACTATACTTTTTTCATCTCTCTCTCTCTCTCTCTCTCTCTCTCTCTCAGACTTTTCTAACGGTCAATAATTATTTTCATGATGTGATAAATTTTCTGTTCTGCAATCACTTACTGTTTCAGCTTCATTTTTACCGTAAATTCATTTACGACATATCTTACTTTTTTCAATGGCCAATATCAGACTAATTCTTGCTCTCTTTAAATACTTTTTGACAGCATTTTTCATGTGTTTCTGTTAATTTCTTTTTCAAAACTCAAAATGAGCAGCTGCTTCTCTAAAATTCCTTTTTTGATACTGAAGACATTTCTGGATTCATTTGACAGATGATAAAAGATTTCTCCAAATATGCAAGAAAATCAAGTATAATCCTATGTTGCAGAATATAATGAGCGCCATATTTTGTTCAAGCCGTGTTGCCATTCTCACTACTTAACTGCTCTAATAATTCTCGTAATTCATCCAGTTTTTCAGGTACAGTTCTTATTGCTTCTTTTCTTACATTCAATGTTTCTTATTCACGCTTGACATAAATCTTAATATCCTGCTGTAGATCGTCCCATCGGGATATTGAATAAGAAAATAAATTATAAATGGCTTCAATTACACCAAAATTTTAATAGCTGTTCTTTCCTTTCATCATGAAGACATGCTAAAATCAAACTACGTTTTTCATAGATAGCAAAAAATACAACATAAGCAGTATACTGATTTATGTAGATGGAACGATTGACCTTCTATTCACTCAGAAGACGTCGTTTGAACCAGTATGGCAATTTTCTAAACGTAGTTTAAATGTGACACAAAGCCGAAAGTATAGGGCATCCACTGAAGATCGAACTCACTTATATTCGTGCTGGCCGGTTCACAAAGCTTAGCTTTCAGAATAGTTTCACGTTTGATTTCCTTCCTTCTGGTTGAAAATAATATTAAGAAGGATTTTGCAAGATTTTGTTCTAATATATTTCTTTATTTATTACCCTGAACCATACATAATATCACCATAATCTGGCTCAGCGGTACGACTTATCAAAAACATCCAATCCTAACACCTAATTGGTCGGAAATGTCTATAGGTAATGGAAAAAGGTAGAGTCGTATTTTTCCACATAATTTTTCATACAATAGCGATGTTCACGGACTTTGAAAACAAAGCATCATAATTAATAAGAACGTCTCAAAATTGTAACGTGTTAATTTTATCATAACGATCTTAATGATATTAATAAGAAAAAAATTATAGAAAATTCTCATAAAACTTATTAGTTTGTCGAATTGAAATCGATTGAGTGGTACTCTAATAACAAGTGCAAAAATTTGGCTCATTAAACTACCAGAACAGTCGATAATTAATTCTGGGTTATCACTTGGCTGGTACCTATTCTACATTAGGCTTATAAATCTATAATGCAATTAAAATTAAAACATAATGAAAACATACGTGTTATTAAGTTATTTTACATTTTAAACGTAAAATAAACATAAAATGAAATAATATACTGTTGTATGACGCAATAAGAATCGCTTTTGTTTTTGAAAGAAAGGAATTCTTGTACTATTTCAGTTTGTGGGTGATATCTGACTACATATCTTCTAATAATTCTAATTCATTGCCTTTATCTGCGTCAAGTATAAATTTTAAAGCTAAATTTTTAAAATGCTCAAATCAAAACCCGTGCTGCTTATAATAGAACCTAAAGACACAAAGTAGGAGACAAGCATAATTTTCAAAGAAAATTAATTAATTTAATAATTTATTGACTTATTACAAAAGAAGTATCATATTACAAGTGCATAGAGATACAAATAATGGACGTAAGACAAAGCTTCATGAAAAAATCGCACACTTAAAGTGAAAAGCCATATAAAACCGCTTTGGCTAGATTGAAACATGGCAAAGATTTCAGTAACTGGGAACAGTATATTATTTATTATATAAGGAGAATATTAGTAATAATTCAGTTAATAAAATTCCAGATCAGTTAGTAAATTTTTTTGGTTTTTTTTTTTTTTTGAAAATGCATCGTATTATTCATAAATCTTTGGATGCCTTATAAAATTTTTAACTTTAAACATTTGCGATTAGCTTATGAAGCTAGATAAAAAAAAGTTTCCTTACGTGACAATAATGAAGACGAGCATTGATAATTATTTTAATTCATTATTTAAAAGTTCATTAGGCTTTGAAAATGTGTGATTAAAATAGGAAACATTTATTTTAGGAAAGAAAACACAATAAAAAAAATATCTGGAATAAAGAAACCATTTTGCTTTTCTATTTTTATTTTTTTTTTTTTTTTTATTTTTGCTTTCCGGCGTGTTGTTTTTGATTTTCCTTTACGAAGTACCTATTCTTCGGTGCTTTTTACCAACGAGCTGATACTATCTCTTCCAAACTTTTGGAAGATAACTAATTTTTTTGAGAAATGGTCTAAACAATTGTGACGTTAGCTTCATTACCCATTGGTAACATCTTTAGTAAACGTCAGATCAATGGCATTCTCACATCCTGTTACATCCTAAACTTAAAAAAAAAATTCTTTAATGTAAATATGATCCGGTCACTAAACTCACACAAGTTTCGTACGGCGGACAGAAAGATAGAGGTGAATATAATAGTTTGAAACATGGGTAGCATTATTAGTTCTATATAGGTGCTTCCAATAAATCGCTGGAAGCATGATAAAAAAAAGGTCCCAAATTTGATAAAAACAAAGTTTTATCGTGAAATTGTTTGTTATTATTAAGAGGAAGGACGAAAGTATTTTCGATTATTTTAATAAATTTTTCAATCCTTTCTAGCTCGTTCGAAATTTCATTAAAAATCTTGCGTCAGCGGCTAGGCCAAAGATTAGTATTGGAAGTTTTAACAACTTTTTGGGCGTTAAAAACACATTGTTTTGGAAATTCTTACAAAGATCAAATAATTGTTTGTCCGATGTTAATGAAATTTTCAGGACTTATTCACAAATGAATTTTAATTATTTTTGAAATTTTTTGTTTTTTAAAAAATCTTAATAAAAATAAATTTTTGCTTAATTATATGAAATTTAGAGAAATGCACTGAATCGAAAAATTAAAATGCAATAAAATTATGACATTATTTAATTAGAAAAGCTTTTAATTCCTTTTATAAATAAGATATTTTAAGGACACTATTGTCTTAAGAAAAAAATTTTTCGATGTATAATGAATTACAAGAATTGTTTTCATTTTTTAATTTTAATTAGAAAAGTTTATTTAGTTTTAAATCTTTTAAAATTCTGGGTTAATTTCAGCATTTTAAATTATATTATTATTAAGTGAAAATTATATTTACTGATCATAAATGGAAAAGCTTAATACAAACCATCAAACACCAATATTTTTAAAAGAATTTTGAATTTATTTTTGTATGTGCATAAACGTACCGAATGTTGTAAGTATCAGCGACCAAACACAAGATTATTAGAAATTGCAGCCAACGTTTCTGAAGTTCAATAAAACATTAAATTACGGATAATATTTTCATATATTTTCCTTTCCTAAGATTCCTGAGTACTTAAAAATTATATAAAACTGGCGACTACGTCATTTTATTCAATTATGTTTTACAGATAAAGTCTCCGCAGAACCACATTAGATTTGTCGTCAGACTGTCAACACAGATACAGTCGGGATCAAAAATGCATTTCTGCGATATTTTAAATTTAAAGTAAATAATATTTGTTTTAAATCAGATAAATTCTACTTTAAATCAACTAATATTCTACAAATAAAGTTTGGGAAAGTATATTCTATTTTTGGAATATTTTTTTAATAAAGAAAATTATATTACGATGAAAAACGACTAAAAAAGGGAGCTAATCAGCTATTTTAGCAAAAAAATCTCCTTCCAGTCAATTTAAATTATTTTTTGATATAGATTAAGCTTATTGGAAATATTTAATCTGTATGGATATTATTATTATTATTATTATTATTATTATTATTATTATTATTATTATTATTATTGTTGTTGTTGTTGTTGTTATTATAAATAAATAAATATAAAATAATAATAATGAGAATTATAAATAAAATAAAACAATAACATAAAAAACGTTGTATAAAATAAATTAAATAAAAATTAAAAATAATAAAAACACTCCCAGCGTAGAACAAAACAATTCCTGCCGGAAATACGGACATCCCGCCAAAAAACGTTAAATTCAATCTCTTCGCTACGAACTTAGGTACGGGTAAAACATGTCCAACTTCTCTCTGTGATATGGCTTGTAATACTGTGGAGTAAATTCTCCTTTTTATCACATGTACAATAAAACAATTGTAACCTAAAAATGCAAACGCCAATACACACAAAAATATAAATAAATTGTGTGAAATTAACGTACAATTTACCATACTTTTCCTGTTATTTGTGTACGCTTTATTTCCTTTCAAAAATGCTTTTATCTCCGTGAACACAAGTCTAATTTCTGCTGCTATGATGTGAGTAATCCCCCCCCACACACACACAGATACACACAAGAATGTATTACCTTGCATTTAAAACTAAAATAAAAGCTTCAAGATTTTTCATCTTTAAAATATTCATTTTAAACCTTAGGTAGTGCGTTTTTTATGGAGGTCCTTAGTTTTATACATATTTATTTTGTGGATTCCCATTTCCACAATATGTATTTACGATATGGTTATCAGGAAGGGCTGACCGGAAGTAACCTGGGAAGTTGGTCCCTATGTCTGCTACAGCTGCCAGCGTGAGTAGAAGAGGCAAACAATTACATCCCTCTCTCTACAATTTAGATTTTGATGAAACAAGGGGAATGGAATGGTGAGATTAGATACTCCCGTCTCGTATCTTCATGGGACAATTTCTGTTTGTTTGCGTGTGCAACAATGTTATTATGTTTTATTTTATTTTTATTTATTTTTGTTTATTTATTGTTGGTCTTTCATGTTTGGGGAATCTTAGCATCTTTAATTTTTTTCCTTTTTTATGTCTTTTAATTCATGTATATATTCGTTTTTCTAGTTTTTTGTAGTCATTGCTTCTGGTTTATTTTTACAAATACTACGAGGC